CTCAACGTCCTGCACCGTACAGTGATGAAATACATTGTCCAGGTCAAGCCATCGTCGTGTGTTAAAAATGGCCCAGTCAAAGTCCAAGCCAACAATCGGTTTAGAACTGGCATAAGAAAAAAAAATCATCTTAATATGGAACGCTAGTGGAAACATACCCCAGAAGAGAATCATTTTCTTCCCAATTTACAACAACAATGCAGATAATGTTGCTCTCATGCATACAATTTCAGAAGAAAATTGAAATCTGTGGCTGCAAGATGGCAAAAGGTGAAAAGTTTTACAGGGTGCTAGTAGTTTTGCGGGTCTGGATGCGTCCAAACCCAGGAGATCCGCCGGTGAACAGCACGGCGCCGAGCCGCTCCGGTTCCAGGAACATTACACATTATCTAACTTCTGGCCTGCCTTCATACACTTTGCATAAAAACAAACAGACAAAAAAAGAAAAAGCAGGACATGAAAGTAATTATCTGTGCGCTGAGGGTTGCTCTCTCACATCAGATGGTTAATTAGTCTGTTCCCTTTCAGCCGTGCCTCATCCAGAGCCGCTGGTCTTTCAACTGGGTTGGAGGCGGAGGCCTTGTAAAACTGCTTTTAACTAAACAACATCACTTTCCCTGGTGCCCGCCGAGGATGTTTACAATACGCACGCCGAGAGCAGACAGGGCCATGAAACACCGAAGACAGTCAATAAACACTTAGCGGGATTAGAACGGTTTCGCCTCGCTGGTGACGAGTGACATCATATTTTCCCTTCGACAAACTCGGTGGCGAATCTGAGGGAAAGTTTGCGCAGCTCCGCCAAAGTGAACAACTGCTCTTTTTTACAAATTCCCTCCCCGTTTTAATGATGGCGGCGGGGAGCTGAGACCCATCAGACCGGGTTCACGTTAAACAGATGTCTGCCTTAGGCTCTCTAAGAGCTCCAGGTGTAAGAAAAAAAAAAGAAGAAGAAGAAGACTGAATCAGCAGGGGCAACTTCTGTTAGTGTGCTGTGTGATGATCCATCAGGAAACTCAAGGTTAAGGAACCAGCTGAGAACTGTGCTATGGAGTCTCATTAGAAACAGACAGAATTTTTTATCCTTTGCAATAATTATTCCTTTTTTTTTTTACTTTAGATTTAACCTGCAAAAACTTGCCTTGTAAATCTAGCGACCGTCAGTTTAAAGGGGCAGTATCATGTGTTTTCTAGACACAGACTCATTTTATAGCCCAATTAAGTAATAGGTTGACTTCAGCTGTTACAAAAATGCTGGATGTATCAAATACAACTGAAAAGAAATTTGGCTTCGTAATTCAACACCTTGAAATTGGCCTTCTGTTACTTTAAGTAACTTCTGCTCAATTTGCTTTTTGTTTCTGATGTTTTGTTTATTTGTGGATGTTGAAAATGTTTTCCAGTGCAAATGCTCATCAGAATTTAAATCTCATTGATCTTTGAGGATGTGCTCCTGCGTTATCATGCCGGTAAAATAATAGGACTTGAATATGGTCTCAGTATTATCGTTTATCGCAGTAACTTCTGGGACAATTTATCGTGCAGTAAATTCTTTTACAGCGACAGGCCTAGGAATGACATTATGACATGATATACAGCTCAAAAGAGTTGATTTCACACACACTGCCACTTTAACAGCTTGAACTCTTAGCAATGCTACCTCGCTACGAAACTGTCACGTGAATTAAAGAGAGTAATTTAATTGACCAAAACCTGGTCTGGTTTTCAACTAGCAGTCTACTGTTAAGTGCCTAAATGAGCAGAAATCCCCCAGACTGTGTTATCAGATGGTGAGACGGAAACAAGTTAGCTTCATTAGATGGCAAAGGACTTGTTGAAGACATCCTGACAACCTTAAAAAAAAAAGATACAGAAAAAGGCAACCTATACGCTGGACTTAATTTGATTTGTGACTGCTGCGCAACACAGAATAGGCATGTAAGACCAGCATAATCATGATTGGTTTGTAAAAAAGAATAGTTATCTGATTTTTGCAAAAAATGAGAAAAAAAGAAAGAAAAAAAAACACATCTAGAAGCCAAACAGCTTCGCTGCACATAAAATACTCAATCAAGCGCAGCGATTCTTCTGTCAGATGTTCATCCAGCGCACTGAAGTGAAGATCTGATGAGAAGCTGGAGCTGAGAAAGAAACACTGAATTACTTCACTTTAAAGTCATCAGATATGACTGTAAAAGCTCCCATGTGGATATAAAACCTGCAGAAATATCACGAGGTCATGGAAACACCAATCAGAGGGCCCCATAAATGTCAGCATGCGCCACACGTCACCCCATCGGCACGAGCCAATTAGAGAACAGAACAGGGTTAGAGACGGAGCACCTGATTTGAATGAGTCCATGTGTTTAAGGTATTTTGTGAATGGCTGTAGGAAGTGGAGCTCAGCCGTTTTACCAAACTACCTCTCTCTCTTTTTTCCCCCCCCTATCAAATCTCCACAGGAGCCAATCAGAAACCTGAGCTTCCCCAGTAAATGTAACGGCGCAGGGACGACAGCTGGTCCCTGGAAGCGCAGGACGACGACCCCAGCAGAGTGTGTCCAGGGTCTTATGACTAAATGGTGATCGCCTGATTCAATGTTTCAGAGTTTTTTCTTTTTTTGTTTGCCTTTTTGCTGTCACTCTCTCTTCAAAACTAATGTTTTACATGTCATGAAAATGAAAGTCAGCAAGGAAAATACCATGTCCCACTTTCAGGTGCGTTTCAGTTGCAAATGTTCGCAAAACCTGGTAGAATCTGTCGCTAATGTCGAAAAAAGACAATTTTGCAATTGCTTCCATTTAAGGGACAGTATTAGCCTCATAGTGCCAATTTATAGCATATATATCGAATATGACTTAAAAGAAAGCTGACTTTGTAACTTCATGATGTGAAATTTGGCCTCTGTCTCTTTAAGAAACTCCTGCTCTTTCAGGAAGTCATCAACCCCTGAGGAGGTGCTTCATCCTCGAAGGTGGAGCTAGGTCCACCACGACGTTTTGCTCAGCTAAATGGATGCGATGGAGATTAAAGGATTCCTCAAACGTGAATGAAAGAATCAGAGCATCAGGTTTTAGATGAGGGAATAAGATTATAACACAATGTAAAGCTCAAAAAAGTACATTTTACATGACACTTCCCTTGTTTTATTAATTTCTTGCTCTGTAATGTTACTTTGTGGTTTTTAACTCTGGATTAATGTGCTTTAAAACCAACCTGCTGATGGGACTACAGATGGAAATATCCCACCTGGCGATAATCTCAGGTATTTTCTTGTAAATATTTATTAATACATAATGTCACATCGAAAATAAAACCCTAAAGATAGCTGGAGATAAAGACACGATAGAAGAAAACCTCTTTGAAGCTGCATGAAACTTGAGGTTTTCTCCTTCCAGCAGAAAACCAGAGCAACAATGGAACAGCTTACAGCAAAGCATAAGATTCATGTTAGAATGGTCCAGTTAAAGTTCAGACCAGCAATTTATTTACAGGTTAAACTGTAACTGCATCTAAAAATGACTCTGCTAAGCAATGACTCAAGAATGCTCTATATAAATAAAAAAAGCCACTTTTTTGTAAGAGTTGTAGAAATAAAGTTGCAAAAACCACTTCTCAATTACGCACTACTTTGTATTGGTGAATCGCAATAATTCACAATAAAACTCACTGACGTTTTTGGTGAGAAAGCGTTAAAAGGTGTGCGATTGCCTTTGCGAGGCACTGCAGCTGTGCTTTATTATGAAGTTCTTCTCTCAATTTACACCCTGCTCTCGACTTTCCGAAAGGCGACGTGGAACAGGAAGACTTACGGTCCTTCAGATGTGCGTCTTATCCGCAGAGCCCTGGGCTGTTTAGTTTGGCGCTTCAGTTTGGAAGCTGTTCCTGGTATTAGAGGATGTTTCTCAGGTGGAAGTTTTGAAAACTGGCCTGGGGCATCAGGGGCCAAAGCCCTTCCAGAGTCAGATCTGCAACAGATATGTACGGAGGCCCGAGCGGAGGTGGCTGGGAGGGGAGTCTGCCGTGTAACAAATGGAGGAAAACAGCAAGAGTAACTGAGAAATGAAAAACATTGTAATGCTTTCGTTTAGAGACCCCGGCTGTCAGTCAGAAGGGAGGCGACGGGGTTCCTCTGATCTGGCAAAGCGGGCGGAGAGGGAGTGTAATCCATCGAGACGTGGGTCTGTTGCGCTAACAAAGCACGGGCATGTGAAGGTGGAAGAGTGTAAGGTGGCCGGCTGGGTGTGTTGACAGCTACAAGTGGCGAGACGCTGGCAGCTCCGGCTGATCTGCGGGGCTGATGCATCAATCTGAACAGTTTGATCTGGCAGCAATCTCCAGGCTCAAGCGGCGAAATCCAGAGGTTTCCATCAGAGACGAGCAGAGGTTGCAACTAACGATTATTTTAGTGATCGATTATTCTGCAGATTTTTCCAATGGTTAATTTGTAAAAAAAATCTGCACCTTATGGCGATTATTTTTTAACCTCTCCAATGTTTCTTTTAGACGATATTAAAAGTCTATCTGCATCTAAAAGTTGCAAATAAACAAAAAAAATATTCCCTTTATAACTAAGAAATAAAAAAAGACAGATTTTGCACTGGGTGAAAGTAAAATTGCTACCTTTTCCACATCTTGAATGCAAAATGTTTGTTTTTGCTCAATTACTGCTCTGGGCGTGTTTATCTTTCAACAATCTGCCTTTTTTTGGAGTCTTTATCCTCCAGTTAATGATTAATCCATTCCTAAATTAGCTGACAATAACTTCAATAATCAACTCATCTGGATTAATCGTTTCAGTCCTAGAAAACAGGCTACGAAGCAAGTTTGAAAAAACGTTGGCGAGTGTAGATGTTGACGTAGATGAGCTGAAGTGGAACTCATCTCTTCGTTTCAGGAGAGACGCAGGAACACGTCACGTACAGGAACGTGCAGGAAGTCCTGCTGCCAAAGCAGATTTGGTGCAAACAGAAACAGAAGCGCTGGGCCCTTCAGCTCACCTGGTTGATGTGTTTCAGTTTGTCAATGATCTGGCTGATGACCGGCTCCGGCTGCTTGTTGCTCTTAGACTCCGAGGCGGGATGAAGCCGTTTCTGGCTGGGCCCGACAAACCTGAGAGAAAAAAAAAAAAACAAACAAGAAAGAACAATAAGTGTTTATTTATTTATTTTTTTTATTGTAATCTGTGCTTGCAAAAAATCACAGTGAGCGCTGCCACGTCTCTCTAAATACGGTGTTTATCACCATCTAGTGTCGGGAAAATTGATGACAGGTCCGAGACGTTTCCTTCCAGAAACATGAAAAGTCCATTTGTAACTGAGCTTTGAGCAAACGGAGAGCTGAGCCCTTTGTGGAGAAGCATTTCTAAAGGTAGAAACAGTGTTCTTCAGGATTTAATGTCTTGAAATAGATTTTGTGGTAAATAAAAAAAAACAAAAAACAATGGAATCCAAATGGGATTTTCTGGACAAGGTTGAACATAAATCTGCACCAGCCTCCGCGCGTAATGGGTCTTAAGCTTCTAATAAATGGATTTACACACGCAGTTTATGCACATATTTTGTCGATGAGAAAAAAAAAATCCTCACACGGTTTCAGTCATTATGCAAAGTTGAGTTGGAGATTAATTTTATGCATATTAACTTCCCACTTAGCGTTGCTTTAATCATCCGTGTCGATGCAACAACTTCAATAGAGATGTGTTTCTGTGCTGCTGCTACAGCGTGGAGGATGAATTTAGCTGCAAGCAGCCAACAGGCGAGTGCTTACAAGCCTCCATGTGTACCTTAGGAAGCGCTGCTCTGTTGACTCGCTCGGGTGCGTGTGTGTGTGTGTGTGCGTGTGTGGGTGTGCGTGTGTGTGTGTGTGTGTGTGTGTGTGTGTGTGTGTGTGTGTGTGTGTGTGTGTGTGAGTGTGTGTGTTATCAAGAGGAGGAGCTGCTGTGTCTTAGAAGTGTATCCTCTCCCCCCAGACTTTCGTGCTGAGACGTTCCGTTTGCCGAGTTCAGTTGGCGCCACGATTAACTCGTTCCCGCCCTTCAGATCAGCTTCTGCTTCCAGGTACGACCAGATCTAATGTCGTGGTAACGTGTCAGAAAGTGACACAGAGGACTGAACGGTGCGAGGTGGCGTCATTCCAGACAATAATGTAAACCAAAACAAACAAACAAAAAATCATCAAACTTTCATATTTCAAAAAAATAAAGGCTTCACAAAAACAGATTTTTAAATAGGGATTACTCCTTAGATTTGGAAACAAATTACATTTAAGGCGCTGCAAGGGAACCCGTTAGTCTTTCTTCTTCTTCTTTTTTTTTTTTTTTTTTTTTTTGCAGATTGCGTTGTTTTTGTGATCAAACTTAACCTGAAACACAAATGTGGTTGTTTGCAACCTAAACCCAGATCCGGCTGGAGACGAACTTTCATCCTCTGCAGTAAATGATTGAAACCTGAAGGTCTAACTCTTCTTCTTCAAAGAAACTCAGTAAGCCTCAAAGAGCCTTGAGATAAAAATATACGAAGGCATATGTGTGTGTGCGGGTGTGCGTGTGTGTGTGTGTGTGCGTGTGTGTGTGTGTGTGTGTGTGTGTGTGTGTGTGTGTGCGTGCGTGCGTGCGTGCGTGCGTGCGTGTGTGTGTGTGTGTGTGTGTGTGCGTGTGTGTGTGTGTGTGAGGTCATTCTCTGCTCTCTCATTTCTGAGACTCTGACCTGACTGCTTGCTCGCCCTCACACACACACAAACCTACACACACACACACACACACACACACACACACACACACACACACACACACACCTCTCTCTCCTGACGTCTGTGCTCATCACTCTTTCCTTTTATACGCAAAGTCAGACTTTTCATTAAACTCGAATTACGTTCCCCCAGTTATTTATTCTCCTTATTAGCCATGATCTCATCCCCTCTCAGCTCCTAATTATCACATTAATAATGGAAAGATGTGTGATCAATTAGTCAGAGGAGAAAGAGAAAATATGGGTCGAGGAGGGAGGATGTGGGGGGAGGGAGATGGAGTGGAGGCAGGTTAGCGTTTCATGTGATAAATGCCACTCAGATAATTTTACCACAGGATCATTTAACACGCATCGCCGCATTTCCCCACCGTCTCCCTCTCTCTCTGTTTTGTTATCCAATCTCTGTGTTGCCGCCTGCAGAGCTGATCAGATGGGTAAACTCCTGCGATAAGCTCATCTAATCACAACCCAATTACCGCACTATTAGGCCCAGCCTGACCGGGACCAGCGCCTCCCACACCGGCACAAGCAGACGAGGAGGAAATGACACCTTCATATCACGGTGTTGCCGCCGATGAAAGAGGAGACCAGTTTGACCTGGAAGGGTCGGCCATTGAAACTCAACAGCAGCTTTATGAGTGTTCTGGCTGTTATAAAGGAACTAACGTGGTCAACACAGGTTCAGCGGTGACCTCACGCAGAACGGGTCTTGGTTATGTGTGCGTGTGAAAATATGTTCCAACACTCAAACATTTTTACGTGTTTTATTCATAGCTACATTCCTGGAAGCGATGGTTGTCGACTCCCTTACGTTGGTTTTGTATGAGGGTCTAACAAAACATGTTTTAAGATTTTTATGACCTTATTAAGAGAAATATGAACTTTAACACCTGTATCATGGCAGAATGCACGAGAAACAGCCAAAACTGATGATATTGCCCTTTTTAAAAAAAAAATGTATCGCTACACAGAATGAATGTGGCGTTGTTACGGGTTGGGAACGTAAAAGAAATTTTAGCAAGAATAAATGGCCAACCAACTGGTGCTAAATATGCACTTAAACCACGACAGTCGCAAAAAAGCTAGCTTGCTAGCTAGCTTTCCTCCTCTTGTTTTCGCTGGAGGAACCAAAACCAAAGTCTGCTGCTAATTTAGATGCTAATACACATGTCGGTTAATTAATTTATTTATAATGGGACACTGTACAACGTTAAACCACATGAGGAGAAACGTACTGCACCAGGTTAGAGCTACAAATGCTAATTTCCACCTTTAGTGCCCAGATGGAAATGAGCTAGCAAGCAAGGCAAGGCTATCCTAGCACCTGGTTAAGTTCAACCTGCGTGAGTCATGTAGCTGCTGCAATAAATAACTTCTTTTTAAGGTTTAGTGACAAAAGGATAAACCTTTGTTTATCTTTTTGTTTATTCCTTTTAGCACGGAAAAGGAAGAATCCAGCACTGGTGTATGGACAGGGTGGCTAAGTGACAAAAGAGGCAGAAACTAATCAGCTGTGATAAAGGAGATGACAGACAGACTGGAAATAATCTGAGAAATATAAAGTCAAGAAACAGAGCAAAAGAGTATGCCAAGAAATTAAACATAAAATTAAATATTAACATGGCAAAATCTTAGAAACAATATAAAACAGGGAAATGAACTGAGCCGTAGAACACAACTGACCCAAACAAGACAAACACAAACAATAAAAAACCCAAAGAATGTGAAATTAGCACCACAATAGACAAAGACATAAAAACCAGCAATAAGTGGATGAGGAAAACATGGACTTAGGTATTTAACGCTGATTATTACAGATTTCTAAGAACAAGGTTTGTTATTTAGTAAAACGTTACTGAAAACAGATCGAAGTCTTGTCTCATCTGATGACATATTCCTTACTTATTGGACACGTAACAAATGGCTTGTGTGTATTTAATCTCTTTTCCAATATGGCTGAATTTAGAAAAAAGCAAACGTAACAAAGTTTTGCTGTGCTAAAGAGTTCAATGTTGGTTTATTTTTTTAAGTTTCAAAATTTGTTTTTTTTTTTTTTTTTTTTTGTCAATTAATGTTACGGCTCCATATTTAGGCTCCATACTGGAGCTCTTATCACTCCTTGTGATTTTCCAGTTTCATTCGATCCAAAGCAGGGACGGAAGCCGGATTCTGCATGAGGCGCTCTTTGATGTGGAGCAAAGTGTTGCTCCTCTGATCTCGGTTCCAGGTGGGGTGGAAAACACACGCCTGATTAACAAAAAGAAAAAAAAAAGCTCCTCATTTAGCTCCAAACGCCGCTCCAACAGCATGTCAGAGGCGTTCAGCGGTCGACCTCTCCGGAGCTCACCCATTTCCCCTCCTCCCCGCTTCGTCTAAATTTAACAACCCGCCCGGTCCGGATTTCTGGAGAAGGTCCTAAGAGGAAGGGGATAATGAACGACGATCCGGAATAGATTGAAAACGAATCCCGGCTATATTTGCAGGCGGAATGCCCTCGCAGGTGACACGGGAGAATTGCTTGCTGCAGGACATTGTAATCTCTCCATCATTTTGTCTCCTTTCTTGCCTCCCTGCCACCCCTGCTATGGCGCCGGTTCGGTCCAGCTCGTAATCATCCCCTGAGGACAGCTTTGCCCTCTTCTCGACAAAAACTGATGTCTCCTTCACAGGCTGATGGCAGCTTTATGGAAAGATAAAGGAAGCTTAAGCAAAGATGGGCATTTAATCTTTGGAAGGCGAGAGGAAAAATATTCACCCGAAGGGGACTCGTATCTCAGATTTGTTAAGACTCATAATTAACAAAACAGGCGAGGAAGAAACAGATGTGTGTATCTGCCCAGGCTAAAAGTATGAAATGTGTAACTGTTTTTTTGTTTGTTTTTTACATATCTGTTAATCATTTTGTTGTGACAGTGTAATCTAAGACCGATAATCCGTGTAAAAATCGAGCTCATTTGCCTTTTCCCAGTGCTACTACAGAAACACAGAAAGAGCTCAGTCAGAAACAACCAATCAGAGTCAAGAGGATTATCTTAGCGCTGTCAATCATGCTTCGGTTAGCGTGGCTCACACCCTTCCCTTTCGCTCTCTGCTGCGGTGCAGCTTCTTCCCAACAGCAGAACCTGTTACTAATGTTAATGCTAGTTAGCATAGTGGTGGATAAATAGTTTTCCTGTAACAATAAGTAATTTCTCCACCATTAGCACATTTAGAAGCGTATACACAAGAATGATTATCAGTACTAATACTAGGGTTGCTGAATTTTTAGCCAAGTTGAAGTGTGATTTACTGTATGCTCTTTCACCCATATTTTTATTGCCATTTGTATTTACGAACCCCAGATGCCACTCCTCCTCTTACTCAACATGACGTACATAAAAGAAAAGTAATGTGGAAGTAGAAAGCGAGTCTCTGCAGGAGAACAGGAACATCTAAATATTCTTGCTTGGGCAGATGTAACTCCAATGTTGGGGAAACAAGAAATATTGCGGGATGACATACCAACTGACGGACTTGAACCGCATTTTGGAGGTGCTGGGTTGGTAACTAAGCTAAGCCCCTCCTCTTGCCTATGATTGGTTGATTTTGATCGGGAGCTGTGCATTTTTTTAAGCTTATTATAGTAGCTCAGGGAGGAGGTGGAGGATCTAGATTTTTCTTTCATAGATTATCTGTCTCGCACCATACCTTCACAACATGGTGGCAGTTTTAATAAGTCAAAACTGATTTAAAAACTAAATACATAAATAAATAAAAGTTAAATTCTGCAGCTTTAAAGGGAAAAAGTGTGCAACTGGAGCCACACAACAGGGAGCGAGTGAAAAAGCGCTCAAAGCAATCACAGTTCTGCAGGGTGCAAGAGATGTGCTGGAGGCGGAAACAGCAGTTAACTGCGAGGAGAAGGGGACAGCACGCCTGACATTTATAACATCCCATAGAGCCAAAGTCAAGATTTACACTCACACTCAGCTGGAGGAGAAGGAGAAGGGAGGAGGAAGCCCTTCAGCTGGGGGAAAACTTACCCTTCAAGTCACCTACGCGCTCCGAGACATGAAATCAACCCGCTGGATCGAGAATCTGCTCGTGAGCCGATACGCTTTAAAAGCACCGGGCTCCATGGACTTCCCAGCAGATGCGCTCAGAAATAAATGCCATTGTTAATCCGTACCTGTCTGTCATCTCCTGCCCGTTCCAGCAGAGGGAGTTGTTCGCCGCGGCGGGCTCCCGACTGCACAGCGCTTCCCCGAGGCCGCTGTAGAAGGAGCTGAAGCCTTTCAGGTTGGTGATGAACTCCCTGAGGTGAAACGGAGAGAGACACAAAGAATAAAACTGTCACAGAGGAAGAGCTAAAGAGAGAGAATTCAGCTTAATAAGACTGAGAGCAAGTTGATTAGATCCACCCCGGCGACCCCCCATGAGACGCAGAGATTAAAAGGGGCCAGAATAGACGGTTGTCTCTGCTCCTTAATTGACATTAATCTGACCATTTGGAGACTGAAGCCTGCAGTCCTGCTGGGCAATTACGGCGCTCAGCTGGGGTCTCAAGTGGAGAGAGAAAGAGTGTCACAAGGAACCTGGTGAGTCTGTGAGGAGCCTTCAAGTTTCCTCATTAGGGAAGCTCTATGCATTTTACATTAGAGATCAAAAACAGCAGGGCATCACTGGGAATTTAAAAGAAAACAATACCTTACATTTTGAAGATTTCTGTTTTAAAATCTCTGCTATCCTGAAAAAAATCTTAAGAGTGTGGCATGCTTTTATTTTCAACATTACGCTGATCCCCCAACATCAGCAAATCCATCCGTGTAAATAATTTTATTGTCGAAAGAGCCACAAGAAACATTGTTTCTTTTCAAAACCTGTGCATGAAAAGGTCAAAAATGACTGAAGTAAATAAATACATAATAATAAAGCACAGTTTAATATTTGCCTTTTGACTTTTGATTTTTGTTTCTCAAAAAAAAAAGTGAGGTAAATAAACAACAACTTTGGTCAGTTCCTCCAGGATGTTGCATTTTCTTCCTTTTGTAGGTGTTGCGGCATAAAATTACTGATTTTGCTGCAACTTTTTCAAAACAGTTGTGGTCAAAGTTAAACATTTTTAAGCTTCATTTTCCCTTAACATGGTTTTTCAAAAACATTTACATTTCTGCACACAACATTCCCCAAAGTGACAGGATCTTAACCCACGTAATAATCAAAGTGCAAATAATATTTTCAAGTACTGTTGAAAAATGGCATCCTTAATGCAAATAAAATCATGTCCTGAGGAGAGGTCAAAGTGCATAAAAACCATTCTATACTGGGTCATTCAAGCTGATATAATTGATCAAATTCCTAACATTTCAAAATGTTTTTTGCCAAAGAAAAAAACCGGAAAACGTAAAAAAAAAATTTCATTGCAGGTACAGTTTTCAAGAGACGTTGTGAAACAGGAAGTTACATTTGAAGGGGGCTCAGAGAATTGGTCTCAACTCAGCAGGGTTGCTGTGATTGTTCAGAAAAGAAAGAAATCCAGAATAATTTATGGCGATCGGTCAGATTTGTGGAAAAGTGGCGATGAATGGTGAAATTGCAAGTTTGCACAAAATATTTGAATGATCAGTGAATTTGTGTGAAAACTTGCGAAACACCATCACAACTTCCTGTAGGGACTTATTAATCCATGAAAAACAGCTGATCAGAGTTATTGACAAGAGGATTGGAGATAAATCCTTACTTCACATTATAGAGCTACTTTGTGTTGGTTTGTCTCATAAACTCTCATTAAACTTTGACAAAATATAAAACACTACAGAACAGGCATATTCTTCCAACCAATTAAAGCATATTCAATTATTTGATTTTTAGCAAATTTGTTCAGAGCACAACCAGAAAATTCATCTTCCAGCGCCTCTCAATTGCCCGCATCAAACCTCGTCACTGTTTCCAGTGATTTCCTCACCTGCGGAGTCCAGCCAGCGTCTCATCGGCGTCTGAGGGCTGAGCGTCCCGGGTCACAGACGCAGCGGGAGGCTGATGGAGAGGTGGGGCCTCCACGGAGCGGGAGGCTCGCTTCGTAGCGTGTCCACACATGCTGCTCACCTGCGGAGCAGAGAGGAGGAGAAACCAACACTGAGTGAGCAAATTAACTCCCCTCTTCAGCCCTCCAGCTTCAACCTGTTTATTTTATCTTCTATAAGAAGGGATGCTTTAGAAAACAAGAACCTGTCAGCAGCCAAACCGGCGGCGCTTCTTTTTTTTCCCCCACTGTTTTCTGTGTTTATTTTTGGTAAGGATGACAGCAGTGGGGGTGAAGATCTGGAGGGCTGAAGGGGGGTATTGGATTTGCATAACAAACAATTCACTGGATCCTCTGCCAGCCGCCTTGTTCAAATTTGTAATCATAACTCTCTCAAAAAAAAAAAACACGAGCAGGAAACCAAGGCCTCCGGTTCGTCCCGTCTGTCCCGCGCCGTGGCTGCCATTGTGTCGTCCATGTGGGATGACATTACAATAACAAATAAGGAGTCCCTCTCTGTCTCCAGCAGATAATGGAGCTGGCACATTCTTTTCAGGTGTAATAAAAATGCAAATGGCTGCTAATGTTTAGCTTGTGATTTAATGATTTGGTGGATCCTTAATTTCCCCCGGGGATGCCGGCCAAGGCTTAATTCTGCCATGTAATGTTAACAACTAATTGTGCCCGGCTTCCCTTAAAGCGAGCTGCCTGGAGAGACTGCAGCTGAATACCAATGGGTCCGGACGGAGCAGCACCGTAAGTCTTCATTTGGTTGTAGCAAAAGGCTGCACAAGCTCTCTCACACACACGAAATCCTGTTTTAACGACTTGTGTGGACTTCACATTGATTTCCATTCATTTTCAACAGCCCAACTCTTACCCTAACACTAACTTTCACATACCAAACCCCCTAACCCAAAAACAGTTTTTCCCCACATGAGGACCAAGAAAATGTCCCCACAAAGAAAAATAGTCCCCACAACCCACATTGTAGACAGAGATAGGTCCCCACAAGGATATCAAAACCAGGCTCTCTCTCTCTCTCTCTCTCTCTCTCTCTCTCTCTCTCTCTCTCTCTCTCTCTCTCTCTCTCTCACACACACACACACACACAAACATATGGACATGGTCGTGCGCAAAGACATACATGTTTTACAACTTAAACAAAAGTCCTTTCATCTATTATTCACCTGAATAATGCACCTGAACCCATTAACATGACACTGTGCTACATCATACACACTCACACACACAAACACACGTTACTTAAGCATTTTTATTCAACAAATGCTGACGCGCTGAAGTGCTTATTACCAAGAACACAGATTTATCAGAGTTAATCTATTCAGAACTGTCACAGCACACGCACACACACACACACGCGCACGCACACACACACACACACACCCCACATCCCCCCCCCACACACACACACTCCACCCTAACAAACACCAGGTCATCACCATGGCGACTTCCCTTCACCTCTGAGCTGACATGTAACCATAACAATGTCCCCAGGCACAACGCAGAGTTCGCTGCCACTGGACTCCAATTTTTAAATTTTTTTTTCAAACAATGTAAAATAAAAAATAAAATAGTTATTTTTCATAAATTAAGTTTTTTTACTTGATCTTTATCGAAAGGGTCATGCAGCTCTAAGCTAATCATATTAGTAGAATGGAAGGTAAAAATGTCTCTGGATTGCAAAGGGTCTGCTTCAGAGTGACGCATCATGTCTCCAATGAACAAGTCTGGGTTTGGCAGCTGCTAACAGAAGGCTATTTTCCTGAGTAAAGTTTGGTGGAAGGATATTCAGGTGTGGTGTTGCTGCCCCCTTATGTCTTGACGCAGAAGCAAAAACACTTAAATATTTTGGCTTGTTTCATGCTCCCAAGTTTGGGAGCGACTCTCTGTAGTTGCTACATGACTGTACACCAGAGCACATAGCAAAGTCCATGAGGACACGGATGAGCAAGTTTGATGTGAGAGGACTTGACTGGCCTGCTGTCCTCAACCTGACAGAGCACCTTTGGGATGAATTAGAGCAGACACAGCGAGCTAGGTCTTCTTTCCCAACGCTCTCCTGGAAAATCAGACAAATATTTCTATAAACATGGCTTCAGAGTTTACGGACAGCCTTTCCAGGACAGCAGAAGCTGTTGTAGAAATATAGGATATTGGGCCAAGTCCATAACATTATAACATGGTGTGAAACTCCAAAAAAATCAACACAACACGATACTGCCACTTTCAGAATGGGATGCCATCAAAGTTCACGTGAATGTCTCTTAATGCTTTGAGCAATGTAGTTTGTTGAGACTTGAACTCAGATCCGAGTGCAATTTGCTGTGCCACGAAATAAACAGATGTTCATATGTATTAGTAAAATGTTTGTATTTGGGGTTTTTTCTCCTTTATTTTGTAATGCGTTGTTGCTCACAACCAGCCTAAGATGTAACATCATCTCCAGTGACTTTGTGTGTCCGCCTGACTCGACCAATCAATCAATTGGTCGAGTCAATCAGACAAGATTGATGAGGGAAAAAGAGTGTTGAAAAAATGCTAATTACACATTTATGCTCATCAAACAATGCAGTGACAGTATATAAAATGATCCGAAAAGCAAAGAAACTTCATTCACTTACCTGGGACAACATCAGAAGCAATGACATCATGTCTCTAATTTGTTTGGTTTTCTAGTTTGGTTTGCTCTAAAGTCTGATATGTCAGACTTTATCTAAACAACAAATCCCAATTTAACTACAGATCCACGTTTTATCAGTATCAACATCGTTATCGATGTAATTGTTTTTAACATATTGGTATTGGTCTGAAAGTCAATATTAAAATGGATACTGAATTCCATCTTGTTGCTGTTTGTTTCTGGAGTGGAGGAAGTTGGTCATGTGGCAGTGATACTCGTGCAGCATAGGATTGTGGGTAGTTTAACCAAAGAAGACAAGTAGTGGTGAAGTCACTGGTGTGGTCATTCTTTTCAAGTTGTCAAAAAGGCAGCAATATAAGCAATGTATCGGTAAATATCAGTTATCTGCCACGACAGCAGCACTAATATCGACCGTCAATATCAGCGCACGTTTAAAGGGGCAGTACTATGTGTTTTCCAGCCACATCTTATCATTTTATAGCACAATGAAGTAATTGTGTAATAAAAAATGCCACATATAAAACATGAAATAAAGTAAATTTAACTTTGCAATTTAACACCTTGAAATTTGGCGTCTGGATCTTTAAGAAGTCCAGACTCTGTCTGAGACTCCGTCTTCAGCACAGCAACGTTCCTCCATTAAGTGTTTACAGATGTTCATCAAAGCACTAGACTGAGACGTAGTTCACATAAGAAGCTGAGCAGATGTGGAGATCCACCAGCTGTTTGCTAATTTATGCTGGCTAGTCTGAAGGAGCTGAGGGAATAATGTTATAACATGATCCAAAGCTCAAAAAAGTACATTTTACATAATACTGCTCCTTGAACTCCGACCCCTAAGTAAACCACCAATCTCTGCTGTCCAATGCATTAAATAAAACTTGACATTTCTGATCACCAACAATCTAAAGAAAATCCCAATAACACTGTAAGATGCCTCTCTGTCCGTTTCTCTGCCAGCTCATTTCCTCCCCTCACATCTTCCTCTCATGTAACTCTTTCATCCTTGTGGGGCCCGCAGCGAGCGCCGCCGCTCCCGCAGGCCATGATTAATGCGATCGGAGCTGCGCTCGCCTTTTTGTTTACGTGTTCCCGGGAAGCCGTAGGGGACTTGTGGCACAAGCAGGGGAGGGCCCAGAGGGAAGCGGAGACTGATTCAGCACACAGACTCTGCCCTGCCCGATTGTTTCCGGATTCCTCCAGGAAGGAGGGGCCTCATTAGCCAAGCATGAGCATCATCCAAGGCCTGGACCGACACAACCAACAGGAGGGTCCGTCGATAAAGCCTGGCTCAGCGGGGAGAAGTAGAAAATGTCCACCTCGCCGACACACACACGTTCTGCTGAGCGTCTGCTCCTCAGCGTCTGTGTGGCACTTTGCTCATGCAAACACGCCGCAGAGATAATCTCTAAACAAATCGATGGGAATGCCCGTGGGCCAGGAACAAATTTATGATGAGGCTTTTACATTGTTCTTCATCATGAGGATTTACAGCAACTACAGAAAGAGAAAAGAGACTCTGTCCATTGGTGAAGCTGGAGAATAGGACCCAGCCAGTCCTCCTCCACTTCCTCCCTCTTCTTCCTCTGCTTCTTGTCTCCATGTGGTCAAACTGATAACTGGTGAAATCCACGTATTATTTCCGCTGAAGACCTTTCAAAGTCTCAAATTAAGAGAAAAGGATGGGGGGTGAAATTGTTTTTATATGAGTGAAAAGTCAAACAATATCCAGCTGTCACAGTTCTCTCCAGAGGAAAAGAGCTCTGGCTGTGTTGAAAATGAAATATTGTCTTCCACTGTTTCATACTCACAAAAAAAAAAGAAAGAAAAGAAGTTGCACTGCGAAGAAAAAGTTTTATCTAAAATCTTCCCAACCCCAAACTCAAATTTAAAAGTGGGTCTCTATTATGCAATTACTATTAACTATTTCCTCTCAATAGGAATCACAATGTTCTGATATTACTCAGATGCCAGCTAGCATTAGCTTTTACTTGGTTGGTATCAAGGTGCAGAGCTCTTCAGTTATTCTAGTTTTACATTAACTTCTGCTCCTTAATGTCTTTGTGTCCTCAACAAGGTGAACCATCTACTCCTCTACAGATCGTCACAACTTCATATTGTGCATTCTTGCCTGGTTTTCTCTCTGTTGGATGGACTGAAAACATAATAAACTCGCCACAGAAGCCCGACATCGACCCGACCATTAAGCACGTTGTTTTCCAGGAATTTCAGGTCGAGTTCTAAACTCTCTGAGTATCGGCCTCTGTTGCTCCAGAACAAGGAGCTGAAGAGTCGCCCACACTTCCCCAGGAAAGGGTTTATGGTCAGAGCAGAAAGTCCAGCCAGGCCACCGGCCGCTGATGGCTGCGAGGCGTTATAAAACGCTGCCATCCTCAGCGCCGAGGCAATGGCCTACAT